AGGTCATGAATGCATGAACTAGCTTTTCTGCATCAGAAATAGGTAGCATGTTCCGTAACTTGGTAATGTTTCTAAGATAAAATAATGCTGTTTTGTAACATGGGAAATATGATTTTCAAAAGACAAGTTGCTGTCTAATATAACACCCATATTTTTGACTGTAGAGGAAGTACCAGTACATCCGTCTAGATGCAAATCGTAATCGACGAGATTCTGTGTACTGTTTTTTGGTCTAATAAGTAATATCTCGGTCTTATCAGAATTAAATAGGATAAAATTATTGGTCATCCAGTCTTTTACTTTTTTAACACACTCAGTTAGCTTAGATAATTTAGAAGTTTCATCTGGTCTTGTTGAAATATATAGCTGAGTATCATCAGCATAACAATAGAAACTAATCCTGTATTTTCTAATAATATTACAAAGGGGCAACATGTATATTGAAAATAGCAGAGGGCGTAGGACAGATCCTTGTGGCACTCCATACTTTACTGGATTTAATTGAGATGATTCCCTGTTTAAATAGACAAAGCGATAGCGATACCCTAATCAAACACCTGAGTTTGCTAATCAATGTCTTCCGGATCATTCGAAAATCACAGGTATAGTTGTTTGATTAGGGTTGGAGCTAAACTATGCAGGAAAGTGGATCCCGCGAGCCAGATTTGACGATCACTGATCTATAGTGTTGAATGCAGCACTAAGGTAAAGTAAAACTACCAATGAGATGCAGCCTTGGTCTGATGCAAGAAGCAAGTCATTTGGAATTTTAACAAGTGCAGTTTCCTTGCTATGATGGGGCCTGAAACCCGACTGCAATTCTTCATAGATATAATTTCTTTTGCAGGAAGGAGCACAATCGAGCAGACACAACTTTTTCTAAAATTTTAGACAATATTACTGTATGTGTGTGTATTTATATATACATATTAAATATACACAGTACACATTGTTACGATGACCGGCTGGTGTGCCCTGGATGTCCACTAGAGGGCACTCCATCCTGTTTCTGCCTCACAAACTACATGTCCCAATATCCTTTGCCATATCTCATCACTGATTGTCCACAGCTGTTTTCCATTATCTCATTACCTCTGCCTTTATAAGCCTGGTGTTTTCAGTCTCTCTTTGTCAAGTCTTGCGTTGTCATACTGCGTCTCCTAGTTCTGGTATCCTGGTTCTATTTGTTTTTTTTTGTTGTAACCTTTGCCTGTTATCTCGACTATGATTGTGGATTACCCTTTAATAAACAACTGCACTTGGATCCTCAGCTTCGTGTTCCCGAGCAGTTCATGACACACACACATATATAATGTAAACAGAACTTTTATTTTGGATGCGATTAATGGCGATTAATCGTTTGACAGCACTAGTTTATAATATTGAGATTTTGTTGTTTGTTGAATTTAATTAACGCTGCCATGATTAGCTGCTCCAGACACTTTGAGCTCATCTGCTGGAAATCCACATAAAAAAACAGAACAATCATCTAATGCCATCAAATCTAAAAGAAGCAAATCATAACATATCAAATCATAACACATTCACAGATCACAGCGATACTCAGGAATAGACTATTTTGACACCTTCTAATAAATCACGCAACTACATTGTTGTGAATCCTACATGCAAGGATATGTTTCATACTGCTAAAACTTACACTATAAGAATATGCAAAAAGAGTCATCCTTACAAATGTAATATGCTCTTATCACATTAATGTATAAAGATACAAATAGGAACACAGCAACACAGATAGGGTTGGCTTACGGAACTACACATGCAAAAACACAAGCCGGATTCTCTGCATGAAAGAACCACAGCTGACAACCTTTTACATGTTTTATCGGTGAAACAGTACAGAAGCAGTGTTCTGATATACAGTTAATATAATATTAAAGTTAAATAAAATATGTATACAATGTAATATATGTTATGTATATAAAATACTCAATGTTATGAGAGTTTGCCCTTAGCCATAACTATTTGTTCTGGAACAAGTAATAGATTAATGAGACCAGAGACTGCCCGTTAGATTTACGCAAATGCAAAACTGAATGGTTGCTGACACCCTGGAGCTCAAATCTCTGCATATGCTGAAGCATATTTTCAAGTAGACCTTATCTGTATTGAAAAGCTGCATTTTTTGAAGTCTAAACAACTACATTTTTGCCTAAAAACTTTTAAAACTACATTCCATGACCCAGGTTTCTGCATCCACCATGACACTCTCTGTGAGAAATACTGCAAGCATAGTGATACAAACAGTGAAACGGTTCCTGTAGCGATATTGGTGAATATCTCATGGTTGGAAAGACCTCTCAGCCAATCAGATTCAAGGACTAGAAAGAGCTGTTGTATATATATGTAATATTTAATCTATCCTACCTTTTTATGCAAATTGTGTCTCTTTCCACATTCCAACTTCAACATAACTATAATCCTTGGTACAGTCACATCTGAGCTTACTAGAGTGCTTTTTTAACACATTGGAAAGTCATAAATAAATAAATAAAAAATCTGTCCATTTGAGATCCCAATCTGACAGCTTTCTGGAAACACTTGAGAAAAAAAAAAAAAAAAAAAATTATTTTTTAAATTTCTAAAATTAACTTTTATATCTGTGCTGTGATGCATCATGGGATGTGGGAGAAACCAAACTAGAGGATAAAATTGAATTTTTGTTGATTTAAAATTTAATTACTTGAACAATGCACTAATGGCTTTTAAATAATAATTTTTGGATTAATGCATGTACAGAAATTTTATAATCTTGAGATTTGGTTATGTAGTGAATGCAATTCCTGGTCACTTGCATCTCTGTAAATGGTTGTGTCCATGAGTATAAATGCTCACAAGCTGAAATTTCACAGGATTGTCAGTAAGATGGATGTTGGAGAGTGAGTAACTTGCTGGAGATTGAAATCATTCTGAGTGAGAAATATTTTTTAGTGATAATTTATTTTTCTCTTATACTTTATTCTTGTAATTATTTTCCCTGCCTGTATAGTTGTAATTTTAATGGTACTAAAACATGTAACCCAGGGGTTGCCAACATCGGTGCTGAAGAGCCACAGTCCTGCAGAGTTCAGATCCAACCCTAATCAAACACACCTGGACCTGCTAATCAAGTCTAGGGGTTTCTAGAAAGCTACAGGCAGGGGAGTTTTTGTCAAGGCAGGACTGTGGTTCTTCGGGACTGATGTTGGCCACCCGTGATCTAACTAGTAGAAAGTTTGAGTTTAAATCAGTCAGGAGTTATTAATGAGCACTGTTGGAGGCATGCACAGTTTGAGTGTGTGACCCGAATGTTAAGAGCTGCATCAAGAGGAGAGTATTCAGCATGTATTGTGAAGATATATTACCATAACTGTTTCTTTAGTTTATCACTAGTGTATTTTTTTCTGCTTTTCATTTAAGACTCGATGCAGGCATGTTCTGAAGCAACTTAATTCTTATTTTGTTCACAAATGATCTGTGAACTTGAGGATTAATAGTTAATTGCTTTTTCAAGTGCTTCATTGTTGCTGGAATTGGGTGAGTAATGTCCAGAAATTCATCCACACAAAGTTTGTGTATGTTTATTTGGTTCTGTGCAGTGCTGAATCATAATGGTTTTTAAATGTGGATGCCGACCAAACGCAGTGGTTGCAAAGCTTTGCTGTACATGTGATTTAATCTGAGTAAAGTGCCATTTTGTTGTGCTGATTGTACAAACTGGAATTCATGAGTAAATGTGTACTGGTGTAAGTTATGCTATAGCATCATATGCAGGACAGTGCCTTTTTGTCATCTCAAATTGTTAATGGTCCCTGAAGTCTGGTTTTTAAAAACATTTATGTAAAACATTCTATTCATGTGGTCCTGACATAACCTTGAGTGTAAAAGATGCTGTGTTTTCTGTCTTCTGGCCAAAGGAGCTCTTTCCAGGAGAATCAACACCTGCCTAGGTCAGAGTCCTCCAAAGATTTGACTAAACCTCCCTTACAATATTTACAGCATTGTGTGCAAATTGGTCACTTTACTTGGTCAACAGCTTACAACCCCTCTAAGCTCCGATATCAGATAGATGGGGCGCCCCAAACTTTGTGACAGAAAAATTAGAGAACTGTCTAGCAATGTGAACACTAAAGAGTTTCAGCAATTAATTCATGGCTGCATTGATAACTGCTTGTTAATGTCAGTTTACCTCTTGTGACTGTATGTTTGAGTTTTAATTAACACACTCCAACATGTCTGCTGTGCATCTTGACTTTTGTCTGTTTGATACAATTTGTTTTAATTTTTTTTTTTTGGTCAAAATAGTTAACATGAGGTGTGTCTGTGTTGCTGACCAAGGATGTTGAGAGGCATTTTTTCTTTTTAAATGATTTATGTGCTCATCTCTATGCTTAACACTATACCTGCCAAACACTGAATTTTCTGTTATTCATGAGACAACGCTTCCCTGCCAAACCCAGAATTTTCTGGGTTTCGGTGTTTTCATGGTTATACACTAGGGGGCACTATTACGCATCTCCTGAATGAGTATAGAAAGTGCTGATCAAAAACAGTTGAGGAAGACGCAGAAACGAGTGATCTCATATGTAAGCATATGAAAAATAATGCTGAATCTTTGCTTTGGTATTTGTTAATATTGATAATTTCTCAGCTTTTTGCTCAATGTTGTTTTGTTTTTTTATGAAACCTACCTATGTTCAAATGTTGATAAAACAATGCTTGAAGCTAGAATAAAAAGGATTTCTTTTGTTTGAAAGTAGAGAGTCTGATCTTTATTTTGACATTGCATGATCAGATATTCATACAACAAAATATTCAGGGGGCCATGAAATTTTAGCAAAAATCAGCAAAAACGCTAGCGGTGGCTGGCAACTTAAAAAAAAAAAAAAAAATGCTGGCGGGGAAAGTTAATTTAATTAATACTATGCTTAAATGTCTTTGTTGCTCACCCACTTTTTTTTTTTTTCATCTGTATGTCAGTTTCAGAGTCCCAAAGCTGATTTTATTCCAGCTGTAACCACACTCTGTCCATTGGTCAAATCGAGGTCTCCGTCAAGTCTAACCTGAGCAAAGCAGCACTTTCCTCTCAACCAAGATCAGTTCCATTAAAATTAGTATCTGTAGAGAAACTGGTTTGCTTAAAAGGGTGGTTGACTTTTTTTTTTTTTTTTTCTTCTAGGCTTGATTGGGTTTATGGGGAGCAGTCTAACATGTTAATGCTTTTTTTTTTTTTTTTTCTTCTAGGCTTGATTGGGTTTATGGGGAGCAGTCTAACATGTTAATGCTTTTTTTTTTTTTTTTTAAATGCATTTTTCCATTTAATTGACCTTTATTCCACACCGCTCTGTCCCTTCTCCTCTAAACATGCTGATCATTTCCTGCTTTTATGAAGCCCCACCCTCAGAAATGGGCGCTGGACTCTGAATGGTTAGCTAGCCCAGTGTGTTGTGATTTGCTAAACCGCCTCTAGTGTGTCTAAACGTCCCGCCCCTCACCTCAGTGGCATGTGCTCCGGTTGTATTGTAAACAATGGCATCGTTAATATCGCTTATCAGTTTGAGCCCGATTGAGAAGCAGAGGATATTATTGAAGAGGGTCGTGCAGAACCTGTGCAAGCATGGCTTTTAAAGGTAGGCCTATGTTTTTTGTTGTTGTCTCATACTTTTAGATATGCTGTTATTTGTAAATGCTACTGCTTATGTTAGCTTTTAATATACGGTTTTATCCTGATTAAAGCTTTAATACAGTACGGCAACTGCACACGCGTCCATGTTTAACGCTTCTCATAGCTATGTGAAAATAAGTGTATAATTGGAACAGTTCATTGTTGGAGCTGAGCTGAATGAGAGCGAGAGAGAGAGATGCAGAGCAGGGGATGCAAGGAACAGTAAGAACCGCTGCTTTAGAACATTGATTTTGAAACTTGTGAATCCATTAGAATCGTTAGAAGACAATCGCGATTCATATATGAATATATTTTTATGTGCACCTAGTTTTCTCTTCCTCTAAAGCAGCGCAGCATGGCCTCACCCCCTTCATTGCATGTTCCCAGGGGCGGGGTTTGTCTGGGTTTGTGATGTCACGAACCCGGGAAGTAACTCGTTGTCCCTACCAGCTGTTTTTGTAGGCATTAAACTGCCAGAATTTTAAAAGACGATATCACAGTTTGCATTGAACTTTCAGCTTCGTAACTTTGCAGATATTGTTTATGCTCAAACAGCAGCATTACACTAACTAATGTTAAAGTGAAATCGCAATTAACTACCTCTTTAATGTTTCTATTGTTTCAGTTTCATGGACGTACAAATGTTAACTTATGAGATGGCAGTTGTGGTGTAAGGATGCTGAAAGAGATTGTCACGCTTGAAAGTATACCTGCTTTAATCATTGAAAGGTAAGATCTTTTCTTCCACATTCATTTATGTGGTGATTTATTTTATTTTTTTTAAATAAATGAGAACCTATATCCAGTAATGTTATGAGCCAATCAGGAGTTGTTTTTTGGTTTGTTAACGGTCCTGTTGAAGGTGGAAGAAAGCATGTGAAGCTGATTGAATGTGACAGCTGAACTGCATCAAGAGAAATGCCATCAGGTGAGAAGCTTAGCCTATGTCTTTATTTGCCTTTTCTTATTTTTTTTTTTTCCTCTTCATCTGTGGTATATTCACTTAAGTGTTTAATGCTTTCAATGTGTCGTGTATGAACGTCTTGGGTTTCACATAATCTGCTCTGGTTTTTGCTCTTTCAGATCCTACACTTTCCTGGGCATTGTATAAGAAACAGTTTACTTCACTGTGGCATTTGGTGAGGTTAAACATTTCGATATTTGTGATATTAGATCTGAATTTCTGAGGAACCATGCACCAAAAGGTGAAACTGTTTTCTAGAGTGTAGGCAGTTCTAAATTGATTGTTGCTGTTAACTTGTTCAAGTGTCTTGCCGTTATAACAATTTTGTGGCTTATACTTGTTGTACATCAATGACCCTTTGGGTTCACATGTCTTATGGTGCCTTCATCAAGTGAATCTTTTTTTTTTTTTTTTTCTCTGTGAGCATCAGCATGACTCTTACATCTTACTGATGTGTCCATGGTTTTAGACCCTATACTGACATCTGTCGATATTAAATTGCTTTGTCTGTGCTGCCACCACTATATTTGGAATGTACCATGTACAACTAAGTGTTTAGGTGTGAGTTGGTCTTTTTTTTTTTTTTTTTTTTCCCTCCATTTTAAGCTGAAAGGATTAAGTAGCATGGATGGTCAGTGGCATGTGGTCTATGTGGTCTAATATATTTATATGGTCTATGCTTTTTCATATATTTATAGAGAAAGTTAAAGTGTCTCTAATGCGACTTAACCCTGCTTTTTCTGTTTCTTTAATTTCCTGTTTATTAGTCTAAATGCCTCTAAGACCGCATGGATATCACAGAGCATTTGTCTACAGTCACATTCCAAAAGAGCGTGAAAAACTGAGTACCATGTAGGGCAGCCAGCAACAAATCTGTCTTCATTCCTGCTTTTTTATCTCTGCCAGTCAGTGACAACGCAACATTAAGGCTTTGACAAATATTGGGTTCTAGGTAACACTGCAACTGTATTAGCCCTCCGTGGACTTTTCTCCCATACTTCTCACTCAACTGGGCAGGTTAAGTATCATGCCATGACTTCCTAATCATGCCAAAATGCATTTCTTGATGCGGTCACTTCTTTTGACTTGGTGGCAGTTCGCAAGTTCTGTGCAATTTAACCACTTACTGAGATGATGCTGTAAGTATTGGTAGCTTCTCCATTTTAATTTTTCTTCCTTTACCATGTCTGGCCCTGCACCAACAGGTCGACTCCTGCAACACCCTCCAGTCTCTTGCTCTCAAATGGTATGCTTGACCCTTGGACCAAGGTAAAGTCTCTTGTCAACCAGTCTACGTATCTTTGGAAGCAGTGTTTCCTTTCTGAAGAACACCTTAAATCTGTTGAAGCTCTTCAATGAGGGTGAATGTTATCTGACCATGTGACTTCAATACATCCCTGTTTACCAAATGCAGAAGTATAACTGCACCCATGGACCAACTGTGCAGCTGCTGGTTGGCTGTTAACGGTGACTTCACCTTTCCACTCAGACAAAGCACCACATTTGGTTTTGACTGAGACATGGAGATCTGCACAACACCGCAACTCCCTCTGTGCTCCGATAGACTTTCACACTCCTCAACCACCTGAGTTACCTTAAGCGCAGGCATTGTGGACCGTGAGTATGTGTGCTATAAATGCATACAGGCATGTGAGACTATGGGAAGTCCATGTAGTTTTAGTGATTGAGATCTTGAGTTTCAGTTATTGTACAGACAAAGAAAAAAAACCTTTTGAACAGCTCTGATGTTTGCGTGTCTTTGGCTGTAACTTCAAAATGCAACAACCGAGATCAGCGTGCTGCTATCCTGTCTTTATGACAGCCCATTGGTGACTTGAGTCCCTTGGTAAGTCCCTTTCCCTTGGTAAGTCTCCCTTCACAACTCAAAGTTCTTCTAGTCTTTGACCTCAGGCGGCTCAGTTCTACAGCGACTCAAGCCAGACAACCTGCTGGACCTCAATGCACGCAACAATCACCCATTTCTTTTTGCATTTTGTACATGTAAGTGAAAACCAATATGCATTTTTTATTTTTTTTTAATCCACTGAGTTTACAATCAAGTTAAATTTGTGCAAATTTCTTATGCCTGAAAAGCCTCCAGGAGAGACCACAGACACCCAGTTAAGTAATCTGAGGATTTGACAAACCTGTGACCTGCAATAACTAACTTCTAAAGAGCTTGCAGATTTAAATCTGTAGATGCTGAAAAAGTTGTAAAACTGCTGTTTGCTTATAATAATAATAATAATAATAATAATAATAATAAATAATGTCTGGTGTGGAAATGTAATCTAACTGGGTCTTTTAAGGTATGTTTTCTGTAACGCATGGTCTCTAAACTAAATACAGTCTTCAGATGTTGCCAGAACTCTGTACTGCTACGGTGTCAGAACTTTTCATAGTGACGCGTGTATGTGGTGGGTAATTTTATTTTTCCCCTACCACCCAACCCCTGCTTATACCTAAAAGTACTTGTTTCTAAGTTGGATCGAAGCTGGAGCTTCTAATTCTTTTTGGCCTTTAGAAATGTGGAGAACTTTTGTTCACTGAACTCCGATTGAAACTCAACTTTGACTCCTGGTCTTCAGTGTGCATATTGGTTCAGTGCCACCTCTGCTCCTATACTACGAGTATTACTTTGAAAGGAGACTTGTAAGAGGCAAACAGAAGGTGGTCAGTTGCCTGTTTGGATGTATTCACTGCCACTTAAGACATCAGATGTATAGGTGCACCCCAAACTTAGGAGTACAGATATCTGTAAGCAGCTGTAAGTCTTTTTAGCAATGTGGACAAGGAAGAACTATAAAGCTGGTTAATCTGTTGCACTGTTAAAGTGATTGTTCAAAATATCTTGTGTTCAGAAGAAGCCCAAACAATTTGGACAACTTCACAAGGAGTAAGGGAGTCATTTTTGGGTGAACCGTTGGTAATGAAACCGTTTTCAGAAGTCTGTAGCTATACTCTGCTTATCTTGGGCTTTGACTTGGGCTCTAGATTTGAACAAGGGACAAAGTGGTGCCACCCTCTATCAACTTCAAAGCTTTGAGGGAGATGTGCTTGTTAAAACTTGGAAAATACTCTTCTGTACAACAGTCTTGAATCTCATGCAATGGCAAATACTACATTTTTGTTTTTCTCCTAGGTAAGCGGGACACCATGGAGCTGGATGCACTGTTCTCCTTTTAAGGATTTATGTCCACTCGTTGGCTGCCGTCCACGTTGATGTGGCTCATGCAAGAGTTCTAAGCCCTTCTAGCCTTGTTTGACCTTAAATGGCTAAATGCTACAACTCTGTTGTACCTCATTTATACCGAAGCCTCAATATTTTGTTACTTGAAAATGAAGGCAGAATGGTTCATTTGGATCATCGCTACCAACTGCAACCCATCAAGTTGCATTTCTGACAAGTTGCTCTGGTGTAGTGATTGACTGTTATTTGGGGGACAAAGTGATGCCACCCTCTATCAACTTCAAAGCTTGGAGGGAGATGTGCTTGTTAAAACTTGGAAAATACCCTTCTGTACAACAGTCTTGAATCTCATGCAATGGCAAATACTACATTTTTGTTTTTCTCCTAGGTAAGCGGGACACCATGGAGCTGGATGCACTGTTCTCCTTTTAAGGATTTATGTCCACTCGTTGGCTGCCGTCCACGTTGATGTGGCTCATGCAAGAGTTCTAAGCCCTTCTAGCCTTGTTTGACCTTTTTAAATGGCTAAATGCTACAACTTGCAGTTGTACCTCATTTACACAACCCTCAGTATTTCTTTAAAATTAGTTATTTTAATTGTTACAATTAGGTACTGACAAGGGCATAGGAACATTCTCCAGGAGCTGCCTAGATGAGAAGTCCCTCTTCAACTGAAGACTAACCTGTGTCCCTTGTATGTTTACAGCATCTGGCATATTGGTCTCATTACTGGGTCAACTGCTTTAAGGTGAAGGCAGAATAGTTCATTTGGATCATTGCTACCAACTGCAACCCATCAAATTGCATTTCTGACAAGTTATGAGTTTCTATCTCTTTATTTTCCCAGTTTCTTCAAGAAGCCCTGATGCAAGTAAAAGCACTTTAATCCAAGCCCAGCAGTATCTGGTTGACCATCTGAAGGTAAGAAATTACAGCTTGCACTTTCAATGTGAGCTTTGTTTGACTATTGCAAAACGTCAAAGTTTTAGATGGTAACCATGGGGTTTGTAGCGTTCACCTGCTGATTAGCGTGCAGAATTTTTATTGTTTTTTTTTTTAAATGTGCTCTTGACTCTTATGAAGGCCAAAGCCTGCCAACACAAACCTGTAGATAAGGTACCAGCACCCCCTCCCCCGCCTCCTTCCATGTACTGTTTTTCTGTGCACATCACCATATCTTTTTGTTTTTACTGCTGTCTGGCACAGCCATAGCCCTGAAGCCACTCTCTGCTCACCTTTGGCTTGACCGAACTGAATTCTACCACAGGACATGCTGGCACATCTGCAGTTCGTCCCAGAGTCCACATCAAAACCAGCAAGTTTTCCCAAAAACTCGCTTTAATTACTTGTAATGCAGACATGTTCTGTGACCTTCTTGTGGTGTTCTTACTTTGACTTGTTCCCTTACAGCATTAAAACTAATCCAGAAGTCCTCGGCATGTCATGTGAAGTTCTCCTTTTGTTGACCAAACCTCTGTGAAGACCTGACCGTCTACCAGCAAATGTTCTTGGAACAAGGGTGCAGAAAAGGCACAATATTGTAGTCCCTGGTCTACACTAATATTAATGCTCTTTAGGCACAGTGCTGTTTGTCCTCTGGATTATTTCTTCTGTACATGCAGGCAATCATGTAGACCCCCTCCCCCCCTTTCCTAGTCACAGCTGTCTGGCAATTCCAGAGTCCTAATGTTGGCTTTATTCCAGATGTTACCCCACTCTACACGTCTTTGTTCAAGCCCTGGTCAGTCAAACCAGAGGACACAAACCGCAGTTTTCATTTTCATTTCTTCAGTAATACCTAAAAATATGTTGTATATGCAACAGTCTAGTTTTGATGTTGATGAGGTTAACATCAACCTAACGTCAACTTAACATGTACTATGTCTTCTAGGTGAGCTGGGATTTGGCGTTGGATGTGCTGCTGTCCTGTTCCTTGAATAACACGTGGCTTGATTGCTGGTTATTTCATCAGCAGATGATTTGTAGTCAGAGGCTCCAAGTCGTTTGGGTCATCTGATAGTTTAGTAATCTGTCGTAATTTATAATGGTTTCAACTTCACACAAAATTACAGCTGCTTTGGCGCAAAACTAAGCATCTGCTTGTGGCCACTAGGGGGTCCCTAAGAGCACAAAATTATAGGTTTGTTTTTTGATGATTGTTAATGGACAAATGGTTGAGGGTAATTATACAAAAACACAATATTAAATCAAAGAAAATCTACTAATGGGCTGTAGCAGGGTGCAAACACAGTCAGACTGTGATTATTGAAGGTGATTTGAAGAGACCGCAGCAAAACTGACTGCAGTCGAGGGGAAGTAGTGGCCTAATGATTAGAGTCGGACTTGTAACCCAAAGGTTGTGGGTTTGAGTCTCGTACGGGCAGGGTTTGTAGGTGGGGGAGTGAATGTACAGCGCTCTCTCCCACCTTCAATACCACGACTGAGGTGCCCTTGAGCAAGGCACCGAACCCCCAACTGCTCCCCGGGCGCCGCAGCATAAATGGCTGCCCACTGCTCCGGGTGCGTGTTCACTGTGTGTGTGTGTGTGTGTGTGTTCACTGCTGTGTGTGTGCGCTGAGGATGGGTTAATTCCTAGTATGGGTAACCATACTTGGCCACATGTCACATGTTCTATGTAAACATTTTCCTGGGTCCTTTATTTTTGTAATAAAAAGAAGCTTCTGTTCCATAAACTTGGTACTGATTAAAAACTTAACTATCTACATTAACCTACCTTTTGGGGTCTTTGCTATTATATTCAGATATCATTATGCTTTAATTAGCTATATTGTTCCTAAACAGACCAAACCTCAGAATCAATGCAAGTCTTACTGGTATTGAGTAATACAATTTATTGAGTATTAGAACACTGAAAAAGGAAAACATTTAGGTTTTTTTTTTTTTAAACAATGCTTGCAGATGACTATAGCTGGGAGCTATTTGCTGGAGAACACAATGGCTGACAAAGACACTGCTTGTACCTGCTGTGTTTTTAGTAAAATGGTTTGCAGCTTTCGTATCACAAGAATATCAGCTTTCCAAAGGAATTTAAAATTTTTAGCCCTTTAGACCGTAGAAGGGTAAAATGCCCGGCCAGACATTGATATGATGTAAGCAACAAGGCTACAACAAATAAAATTGATAATGTTTGTGTTGGATTTATAGTGTGTGAATCGAGCATTGACCGTAGTCCATAATATTGGTGGCACAGAGAGGTCTGCAGATGACTATAGCTGGGAGCTATTTGCTGGAGAACACAATGGCTGACAAAGACACTGCTTGTACCTGCTGTGTTTTTAGTAAAATGGTTTGCAGCTTTCGTATCACAAGAATATCAGCTTTCCAAAGGAATTTAAAATTTTTAGCCCTTTAGACCGTAGAAGGGTAAAATGCATACATCCACTTGACTGCCCTCTCTTGTGGCCAATTTGAGTCAGCAGAATCTTTTGCTTTGTCCATGTAGTAATTTTAAAAACTAGTTTAAAAGTTAAACATTTACCTTGAGTCCTGTTTCAAACTGATGAGTTTAAATCCTATCTGAATGGGTAATTCGCGCTTGACTTTTGGCTTTCATGTGCCGTTATGTGGTCTTTCATCATTGTAAATCCTCTTTACTAAAAAAAAATGTAAAGGTAGCATCAAACCTGGCAATCCAGTTTACACATGCAATTCCAATGTAAAATCTTTCGATGGCAAATGGCAGTGTAACAATGTCAGGTTACAACAGAAATCAAACTTGAACTATTTTACACTTTTCCAAGCTTCAAATTAAATATGGTTTTAAGGACCATATTAAACCCTAATGACTGTTCTAAACATGAAATTGACCAAGTCATGTGATGCAGTATAACTTGAAATATACTTGCATAAACATAAAATCACTTTCAATATTCAAAAATGCTTGTTTTACTTTATGGCTCTAGAGTCCCATCTTATGCTTTATGCTGTTGTCCCTGTATTATGCCTTTTTTCTTTTCCCCTTATCTTTTGTGCTCTTTGGACCCCTTTTCTAGATGGGGTTTTCCTCCCCCTCCCCTGTTTGAAGTCACATTGATCTCTCTTATTTTGTTAAAATTATTCACATTTTCACATTGGAGGATCAACGTGGTGCCTGTGAATTCGGCATGCTGTCTGTTGCTCTCGTGTTTGCTTGTCTGGTTGTCTGCTCCGTCTTTAAACTGCTACACGCTTTTAATCTATGACCGTCAAGCACTCTTGGACATCCGCAACTCGGTTGCAGACACATTCACCAACTCTTACACTCTGGATGTGGACTGCTCCTTTGGCAATAGGATGAGTCGTTACAGGCGGCTATCCCGGATTGTATCCGCCGGTGGCCCCTCGGCATCCTGCAGAGAAAGCGAAGGAGGAAATGAGGCAAACGCGGAGGATACATCGTGAAGCTTAATGCTCATCTGCGGGCTGGCTTTCTCTCTGATCCTTCCCACGGGTCGTTTTGCGGCGGCTCTGCTGCCTGGCGCCCGCTGGATTTGGCTTCGTCCTGTCCTTCCCTTGCACCCGAGTCCTGGTTCTCGTGCCGGTCTCCACCGAATCAGCCTCGGCTCCCGACGACGGGGAGTAACTCACGGAAATCTGCGCTCGCTGAAAAGAGCGTCCTTGTCCCCTGATATTATTTCACCGAAGATGGCATTATTAAATGCCCGTTCCTTGGTGAAGAAGACCTTCTTACATGATTTTAACTCATCTCACAAGCTGGATTTTATGTTTATCATGGAATCCTGGATAAAGTTTGGTGATCTCCTTTTTCTGATCTGATCCCTGCTGACTGTACTTTTTTTTTTTTTTTTTTTTTTTT